TGGGGGTGGTGGCGGTGGTGGTGGTGGTGGTGACGAGGGCGGTGGGGTGGCAGAGGTGGGGGTGGTGGCGACGAAGATGATGGTGGTTGCAGCGACGGTGGTGGTAATGACAACGGCGATAGTGACAATGGTGGTGGTGGCGATAGAGGTGGTGGTGAAACGGTTTCAAACACTATTTTTTTTTAAAAGTATTTATGGGAAATTATTTGTAGAAGTACTTTTAAAGAGTCACTTCAAACACACCCTTATGAGTCTATTTTTCATATTAAATTTAGGATATTAATATTAACTGTTAAATTAATTTTAAAGTAAAATTTAAAACGATCTCAATCACGAATAGCAAAATCATTTTGTTTATTTTTTAAAATTTGAATTGTNGATATTAATATTAACTGTTAAATTAATTTTAAAGTAAAATTTAAAACGATCTCAATTGCGAATAGCAAAATTATTTTGTTTATTTTTTAAAATTTGAATTATAAGCAACTTTATTATATAGACATTAAATATTTTAAGAACTAATATGAGACAAATACCATATTTTAAAAATCTCCCGTACAATTAACCTATTAATTTAATGCCAAGTTGCGATATACACAAATGAAGTCGACCTATGATACATTTTGCTCGTTTAGTTTGCCAAGACACCAAAAGCATGTTTTTGCAGAAAACAAATGCTTCGAGCAAAAAATGTACGAACTCATAGCGGGAGAGAGATTGCAAGAAATTGAAGTGATTTAATAAAACAACAACGTTTGATAAAAAAAAATAAAATTAAACAGCAATGTTAATTAGACAAAAAATATTGACAATATTTACCAACTCTCAATATTACTATTATTGATTTAACTGTAAGTTTTAATATTTATTAGAATTTATTATCTATTCAATAGTTATAAAAAAATAAACATAATATGTTAATATTTTTTATAACATTCCTCCTAATTAAAAGAATAGTAATGTTACGCTGACTAAATTTTGGGATCAAATTTAAAACTCAAATGACATGACAGCATATTATTTTAATTTTTTATTAGAATTTAAATGACATGACATTAAATAAAAAAATTCAAGTCAATTGTCATATCATTTAAACTCTAAATTTGATCAACATAATAATATTAGTGGGAAAAGAATCACAAAACCAAGCACGGGGACATTCATTGGAGAGTAGGTCAGACCAAGGCCATAAAGGGTGGGCCCCAAGAGCATATTTTTTAAAAATTTGATGTTGGAACCCATGTGCCAAACCGCACCGCACCGCACGCCTATCCTACAAACCAAACCACTTTGGCAAAAATTTGTATGAATTGGAGTAGCCATTGAACCTATTTAGCAAAGAAAATCAGAGTCCATGACTCTCTAATCTATGTATCCATTAAGCAGCCCCAAGTGGAAGCGTCAAAGTTAGTAATTGCCCTGCCCAGTAGTGACATGGGTTATGGATCATATACATTTGTGGAGCTTAGACTTTTAGGGTGGTGGACGACAAATCAAATAATGGCAGTGCGTAGAAAGCTGACACCTCAATAATATANTGCTCTCACATTCTAAATTGCCAAGATCCTTTTGGGGTGAGGCAATGAGGACCGCAATTGATCTTATCAATTTGTCTCCTTTAGTTCCGTTGAATGGTGATATGCCAGAGAAAGTTTGGACAGGGAAGGAAGTCTCCTATGATCACTTGAGGGTATTCGGCTGCAGAGCTTTTGTTCATATTCC